TTAAATGTTCATCATATATTTTGATCATTCCTCATGCGTCTGATTTTTTTAGATCAGACTCATTTGTCCAACAAGTGGGTGATTTTCTCATCCCCAAATAGCCCACAATCTTACATGAAATCAGTGAAACTAGTATTAGAACTAGGACTGTGTTCCCCTATTTTCACCTGTACCTTTCAGTTGACACATTACATTAGTATTCCATGCTCATCAGTATTTCATAGCAAAATAAATTATTCCTTTTATTTCTGAATGTCCACCTTCTTCATCTTCATTATCAACTTTTATTAGGTAGCTAGACTAGTTTCCTAGAGCTGCCTTAACAAAGCTGCCTTAACAAAGCATAACAAACTATGTGGCTAAAACTTTATTTTTCACAGTTTTGAAGTTCAGATGTCTAAAATCAAGGGTCATCCTTCCTCTGAAAACTCTAGAATTCATAAGCTGTTCCATCTTCTGGTAGTTCTATGCATTTCCCGACGTGTAGATATATCATTTGCATGTCAGTTTCAGTTTTCACAAGGCTTTCTTCTCTTCTGTCTTTTCCTCTTCTATTTTTTTGTTTTGTTGGGTTTTTGTTTTTGTTTTGTAGCAGTAGCAAAGTTTATTTGGGAAAGTAAAAATGAAGAGTGGGAGAGAAACTGGCTCTGCAGAGTGAGCTTGGGCCAAGTAAATAGAAAAAGAGGGAAAGAACAAAGATAAAAGTACACGCTGCATCTGAGAAACACAGTGCAGGCTATCATGGAAAGCTACGATGGCCTTTTTAAAAATGATATATATTGCTGGATTTAGGGACCACCTAATCCAATAGAGTGGTACATTTGTACGTGCCATTAGTTGGTTCCAAGAGGCAAGACAAATACCAATAAATAAATAAGATAAATGCAAGTACCAAACAAATTGTTTTGGCTGGAAAAGGAAGCAAGTCGCAAGGCAACTGACTCCAACAAGTACTAGCTTGTGTGTTAAGTCCAAAACAAAATATGAATACCAGGACAAAATTTGATAAGTTTCAAAGGAGCCGAGTACCAAATTGTGATTGTATAGCCAATATAATATCAGCTGAAGATCCTTATCTTAATTACATCTGCAAAGACTTTTTTCTCACAAATAATCTCACATTAATAGGTCCTCTTTGCAAGCATCTTTTGGAGACTACTATTCAATCCACTACTGTAGCAAATTGTGCAGATTTCTTTCTATCAACTATGTTAAATGTCTTTCAAAAGAGGCATAAATGTTTGTATTTGGTAGTGTTATACTTAATCTCAAGATATTACAGAGAATTGCCACCACTCTGAGCCAAATTTGAGTCTTTTATTGTCAGTCAGTGTTGGAGAGTGTCTCAAGCCAGGAAAACTCTCCAGGAGGAAAAGTGGCTTTTGGGGTCCTTTTAAGTGGCTCTCCTAATTGGAGAGGGCTCAGGGAGAGGGGGAGCACAAGCAGAATTTCAGAGGAGCAGAACTTTGCTAAGTTAGTGGGGGTCAGGGGAAGTTTCACACAGTTTAGTTGAAGTATCCTATTTACAAGGTTGTAAAGATTCTACCAATTGGGAAGATGTAAAGGTAACACATTGTTTTAGACTGCAGGATGCAGTGGTCTGGCACACGTTAACTGAGGGGACTCCCAAGGAGGGAATGGGGAGGTGACCACCTGGAATCACTGGACTTTACACAAATGGAGTCAAGTTGGCTATCACAATAGCATAAATGTTAAGCTATTATATAAAAAAGGAAAGAAAAATTTTAAACCAAAGTCACCTGAATAAACAATTATTTTTCTCATCTTAGGCTAGACTTATAGGGCTGTTCTGTTCCTTTAGGTTGTTAAGGCTCTCAGTACCATGGGTCTTTGTCATGCCAGTGTCTCAGCTCAGAAAGGGGAAACTGGAGAGCAAGGCAATTCATTTTAAACAAGTGAGATTAGAGCTGCTTATATCAATTCTACATTGCCATTCCATTGTGACAATGTATTCACGTGGCTTCCTCCAACTGCAAGTCAGGCTGACAATGGCATCTCTAGCAGCGTTGCCATGATTCTAACTTTAACTCTCCTACTATGCCTGGATGAAGGACTACATTGGAGGAAACTAATAATATGTGACAACTTTAAGAAGCTTTAATTATGTCTTTTTAAAATTATATACATCATAAATAGAGGTAATATAAATTATGCGTCTCATTACAGCATTCATCATCTTCATTCATAGCCTCAAAAGTAAGCATTCTCTTAGTATTGTAAATTCCTTTTTGTCCCTGACATTATCTTTAAAGGAAGAATGTAGGAGACAAGAGGAGAATTGAGGATTAGTTGGCCTCCTCTGTGAGCACAAAGGAGAAAGGCTGCACTCAGAGGTGATTGCATATTGCAGGTTCTAGGGAAAAGTTAAATTGTACTTTTTTTTTTGGTTCTGGGGATTAAACTTGGGGCCTTACACTTGTGAGGCAGGTGGCAGACTCACTGAGCTAAATCCCCAGCCCCTAGGGAAAAGTTAAGACACCTAAGGTCAAGTTGTTTACCAGAGTATGTACTAATGGATATTGGAAAGCAGATGAATCTGGTGTTACTTTGATTGTTTGTACCCACATTTGGCTGAATAAAGGTAAGATGAGCCAGAGAGGGGAGGGGTTCTTCTGCCTACTAAGAGGAAAGAGCCCCCTGGATGCCCGCATGTTAAATGACTCCATGTTTCTTTATCATTCATTTTTGTTCACCCCTGGGTCAGGGAGAACAAAATAGTGGGTTTGGGTCCCAAATAAAGCTGGCCGGGTGGGTCAGCTACAGGTGGTGCCCCAATGTGGGGCTCAGACTGGCTTCAGCTACAGAAGAAACTACTATATTCTATAGTTCAGAATCATTGTTAGACACAATTCTTGTTTATCATTGTTATTTTCTTACAACTGTCTTTAAAATTCTTTGTAAGAAATGTCTGACTTAACTACTTTGTCTTCCAACTTTCATGAGGTACAGTAGTGTTTAACATGGCTTCTCACCCTCTACTCATGAATGACCTAGGTGAGTGATAATTATTGATCTAGTTTAATGTTCTTGACCTGCAGGCTCAAACATTGCCTCTGGTGAGCTATTCAAAGGACTAGACCTGCAGCATAGATTTGCTATTTGGCTCTTGTTCTAAGGCACTTTCTCCATCTACTCTTTCAGAAATAGAATTAAAGTTTTGATCTTCATTTATTTGACTATGTGTCTTTCTCATTTGGTTCAAAATGTATGTAGTGAGGAGGAGTAATAGATTAATTCCCTCTAATTCAATTGGCGATTAAACTTGTGTTTCCACATGGCTTGTTATCAGAGACTTCTGCAGTAGGTTCTGATCTCCTGCTTGGCACAAAGCTGAGACAAAAACTAAAAGACAGAACTAAAGAGACAGAGAAACCAGGGAGCCAAGTCGGCCAATGCTGCTCACCCAGCAAAGGGACTGGTCCGTCCAAGCCACTGAGTTTTTTTTGTCAAGCCACTAATTTTTATTAGTAATCAAATTGGGGTAAAGGTGAGCTATGTGCAAGGGTGAGACTAAATGTGAAGATATGCAATCGTGCAGTTTCTATGGAAACTAATGGAGGTAAGGCTGGTAAAGGACAAGACAAAGCATTGTTGAATTAGGAACAGAATAGACAAAATATACGGTTGTAATTAGAAAATATATGGTTATCCTTTTAGTTAAGAAGGTTTTAACTGTAGGAAAGGAATTTGGGTGTGAGTTACTCTGACCTAAGCACATAAGCTTCCATTGGACTCACTTCTATAAACAAGCCAGTTGTGGGGTTAACCCCTTACAGCCTGCACTGCTTACACCCTGCTTTGGGCATAGTCAATATTGCAATCTCCTGCAGCTTGTGAGCATGAAATAGTAAAGAATCAGAAAATTTCTGAAAAGTTGGAGCCAAAGACTATACTTAAGGTTGTTATAAAGTAAGGATATTATTTCTGTCCAAGAGAGAAATTTGTTTTCAGCTTAGATGCAATATAAGAGTTATTGTTCCAGTTAAAAGGAACAAAATATAACATTTACCTTCCTCTCATCCCATCCCACACTTTCTTCCCACAACCACCGAATCACTGCCAAGGAGCAGAACACTGAGTCTGCACTCAAGAGACTTAGAAAGTTAGTGCTCTGCAGAAACAAAAAGAAGCTAATGAGCTATCAGTAGGAATGAATGAGGACTGAAAGAAGCAACTTCCTTATAAATACTATGGGCAAAGATTATATTGATGGAAAAAGTTAAAAATTACAAAAACAATTTTTAAAAAGGGATTACACAAAGACTTGACCACTTCAACAGCCCTGCAGGAGGCAAGAACAGTATAAAAACATCAGAGAGTCCATAGAACCTGAACACCTTAAGAAGAAGCTTCTTCAAAAGAAAAGAGAATGGAACATAGATTGTTCCTTAAGCACACTTGGCTGAAAGCTCAGTAGTTGCTAGAGGGAGAATTGAAGTTAATATCTAAACTTCACTGCATGTTATTGTACAGTCAACATCATTAGGATTGAATGGCTCATATATATTTCTCTTTCCACTTTTGTGGCTTTGGCTAGTGTCAATAATACTTTTATCTTGTGTCCATAAAATCTTGTACACTAACTGAGGCTGTGTTTGTTGGGAGGGGCTCCTAAACTTCCTAAAAATAACACTGAGTCTAGAAAGAACACAATTGATAACTTGTACAAAGTGTAGTGAGTGGACACAGTTGATGAGCAACACCCTAGAAGGTATTTCCTTAGCAAGGCTTACTCTTACCTACATGGGCCTCATGTCATGCATTTTTGAGGTATGACTGCTGATGGCCATAACCAACCCATGTCTTTGTTTAACTGTTAAGGCCTAACCTACAACACTGACAAGAAAATGATCTGAAATTTTGTATGACTTGTTGGAACCCATTTTTAAGGTTTTGGCAGAGTAAGATTCTTTGAATACATAAATATAGTATTTCATCTACATTATGAAAAATAAGTTTTTTTAAGTACTAGGGATCAAACCCAGGGCTTTGCATATGATAGGCAAGCACTCTACCTCTGAGGTACAACCCCATCCCTGGACATAATTTTAACATGCCAAATGTCTTCCCCTTCACTTGTTCTCCATTGCCAGTAATTCTAAGTAATCTTGATGCTTTAGAAATTTTCAAGTCTGTTTTATTTTTGCACAAATGAGTTCAGGCTCATTTACTCTGTTTCTTGGACATGTGAAATAATCTACCAACTTGTTTCAATCCCCAATGCTCCTCAAAGCTTCTTTTTGTAAGCTTTCTAAATCCAAATATATTTATTTCTTTCTCAAACTATAAAAATTCCAGGTCTTCTAACTGACCATGGAACAAAATCCAGAAATCTAAAAGTGGTTCTTAAAGTATGATTCCAAGACCAGCTATACCAATATCACCAGGGAATTTGTGAGGAAGGTAAATTCTTGCCTGTCCACCTCTAGCAGAATCAAACTTAGACTTTCAGAATCAAAATCTCTGGGGATATGGCCAAGTGAACTGTACTTTTCAAAGCTCTCTGGGGGATTCTGAGGCACACTCAAGTTTGAAAACCAGTGCTAGAGGACAGTACAGATAAATGATACTGTCTGCCTTGCTTCCCCCAGAATATCCTACTTCCCAAGCACATTGTGCCCTTTCACAATTCTGTTCTTTGGCACTTTCTGTGCCTGAAAGGTTATTCAACTCCCCCACTGTCTAGTCAGATCCTGCAAGGCACTTTAAATCCTTTTGGAATGAGTAGGATATAAATAAGAGTTTATTCATCCTTCAAAATCCAGCTCAAATATCACCTATGCTGCAAAGCTTCCTCTGACTTCCAAAGAGATTTAGTCATTCTTTCCTTCTGTGCTGTCACTATACCTAATATTCTGTGCTATAGTTATTATTTTTTCCTTCTTATCATGGAAGATGGGTTCTTGGTGGCCCACCCCAACGTGTCCTTCAAACTGCGGGGATCATAGACATTCCCAGTAAGAAATTATTGAGTAAGATTTTGCTTGGTGATTTAGCAGGTAAGGATATTATTATTCCTGGGCTTTTATCCTTTCCTTTCTTTTAACTGAAGATAAATCTTCTGAGAGACTTCCACTTTTGTTCCTCTGAAACTGCTAACACAGGCTTGAGAATGTCATGAACTGATAAGACAATCAGCCAGATCAGTCACAGGAAGCCTAGGTAGACATCAAGAGAACACTTTAAGTCTCTAACTCATACCTAATAAGTGAAAAAAAATTTTTTTGATGTAACTCTAGAGTCAAGCTCAAATTCCTAAAATTTTCTCTGATCTTAGATTTTGTCCTGTTTCATGAGAACAGTTGAAAAAAACATTAAGTACGTAATATATTTTAGAAAACAATTCTATTTATATGTATGTGTGGCAAAAAAGTGATGGATTTGTTTGGTGGAAGTAATCGATATCAGTCTCGATTATATTTTCTATACTAGGAAATAAAGTCCCATTGGTAATAGAATATTCTGAATTTTCATTTTTCTTACATATTTAAATAAACTTAAATGGGATATTTTCTATTTATCTTATCATAATATACTATATAGTGTTAATTAGTATGGCTTCTAGACTTTCCTTTTCTCCCCTAAACCTTGTCACTTCCATCAAGACCCACTTCTCTGAGGCTAAATATGTAATGACTATCAGCATAAGAGGAGAAGGAGGCTGTAGATACCCCACTACCACCACCACCAAGAAGACAGGTATGTACTTAGTAAAGTCTGGAAAGGCATGTAAACATAACAATGGCAGATCAATGTTGGATGAGATCGAAACATCGCTCATGACAAGGGTACAGTTGGACTTGCAAGTTGTTCAAGAAGATTGGTTATTTTCACAATTAACTCAGTTCCTCAAGGAAGCCTTTAATTTGAAATATCTAGTTAAATACAACCAAGGAACAGAACTATGAGCTTTGGAAATGGCAAACCTATCAGAATCATTCTCCTTAAACCTGTCTTCCCAAGCCCTAAGCAGCCTCAGAAGCATTCATCACATCAGCTTTATAATGGAAGTTACTGTTCTTTTCTTGATGATTGGACTGCATTCCCCAAAAGTAGAAAATGTAACTAATTCATTTTTATCTTCTCAAAGGCATCTGGCAAGGCATATACCTTTGATATACTCTGAGGGGATAAACTGAAAATCCATTATTCAGAAAGAATTAGTTGCTAACACTGAAAAAAAAGTGTTATGCAGAATCTACATACTTAAATAATGTAGTTTAAGCAAGCCTGAAAAGGAAAGAGACTTGTCTTCTGTGAAATGCACCAAAAAGGGTCTTCAGACTACTTTCCTCACTAGCTGGAGAGCCCACTGAAGAACAGCACTGTGCTCCTGAGGCCACCATTTGAAGCAGCTCCTTTCCCACTTTCCTTTGCATAGCAGTAGTCTTTGAGGGATTCCTGGTGTATGTCTTTACTTGGTACAAAGTTTCCTGAAAATCTTAAGGCTTCTGGAGCCTATAAAATAAGCCTGATTCTAATTTTTGAGCCCAGAATCCTCAAATCTTGGCCCCCTCCCATGAAAGATATAAAAAGATGGCAAAGAAAGGCAAAAACATAGCAGGCCACCAAACCCAGACCAAAGGGACTACTAATTCTGCTTGAGGAACAATTTTCTGAGTAACAATATATCACAGTGAACTGAGTGTCACAGTTAGCTTCGTTATCCATGTAATGAAACATTTATTGTTATGGATGTACTTAAGTTTAATGGAAGGTAATGTTGCATAGAGTACATAGAAATCTATAGCTATAAAATAGATGGTTCTTGGTAAATTACGCTCTAAACAATATCCCCATCTTCTCAAATTGTATTCCTTTCTGCCTGACACTTTTTCCATCATGTTCAAGATTGTCAAAAAGGCTTTCTAACCTCATGCTTTTGTACTCACCAACCACTCTCAAACCACTGTAATTTGCCCTTTACTGAAAGTTCTTTTCTTTGGCTACTTTTAAAAGAAATATCTAAGGGCTGCTCATGGGTCCTTCTCTTGATTTGAATCTTTGCTACCTTGGGGATTATTGTTCCTTTCTTCTTAAGCCCCGTCTTTGGACTTGTAGCATAACAGTTTCTCTTGATCTCCACATAACCCCTGAATTTACTCTTAATTTGAAAACTGATTCCACTACTTTCCCTATGTGGCCTTGTGTAAGTTATATGAACGCAAGTGTTGGCTGCACTGACCTTGGTAGCCTCTAGCCTGCCATGCTGTCGGTCCAGGTCGCAGTAGGCAATAGAAGTACCAGTAGAGACTAACTATGCCTGTTAATTTTGATTGCCAAATTGACTGGACTGAGAGGAATTAGAAAGAAAATGGTAAAGCACACTTCAGGGTGTATCAGTGAGGGTGTTTCCAGAGAACAGTGGCGTGTGTGTTAGTTAACTGAGTGAGGAAGATTCACCCTGGATGTGCACAGCACCATCCAATATTTGGGTGCCAGGACTGAATTAAAGAGCAGAAGAAGGGAGAAGCTTGCACACATACACACCTGTTCAACTTTTCTTCAATGGATGTATTGTTTTTTTCTGCTACTGTTGCCTACAAATATCATACTTCAGATCTTTCACCCCATGAACCTAGATTTTCTTCAAGGGGCTTTTCAGGCCTTTAGCCTCAGATTGGAGCTGTATCATTTGTCCTTCTGTTCTGCTTCTTGGATTGAGTAGCTACTGTTTTCTCTGGCTCTCCACTCTGTAGACAGTCTAGAGCCATTGTGGGACTATCCAGTCTCAGAGCATCAGGAACTAGTACGAGGGCTGGTAAAGAGCTAGAAACTTGATAAGCAGGAAGGAACTTTGCCCATGGAAGTATAGCTCTACTGCTAAAACTATAGAGAAAGTGGATTAGAAAGAGATAAGTTCCTTTATTATCTCTCACTTCTACTATCTTTCAATTTTCTGCTGGTGCCTCCCACCACTCAAGTCTAACTAGAAACTGACAACATGATGGAACCTGGCTGAAGCTCTAGAGGCTCACCTCCTGAGATGTCCAGCAAGGGAAGGAAGAATAGAGAATGAATTTGGATGGAGGACAGTGGAAAACAGTCATCACACAAGCATATTGATAATCATCTACTTCATACACTTGAAAATATTTGGTGTGCCAGGTATTCTAGGGAGCCAGGATACAAGAGTCTATAAGAGAGAAAATATGACCATTTTCATGGTGATTTTCATTCTACTGGAAACCAAGGGAGAGACAGGAGGCCAGGGTGCTAGAATGTGGTGGGGGTAAGGGGAGCAGGAGATGAGGTATGACGGGTAGGCAGAGGTGAGATCATAAAGGGCTTTGTAGGCCAAGCAAGAAGTTAGGCTTTTTTCCCTTACGCAGTATAATGGCTTTGGGCTGATGGTGGTAGGCTGATACATGTAGATAAAGACACATCTGGTCAAACTGTCAAATATAATTTTCACAGTATCTTGAAAAATAAATTACAGTGACACAAGAATGGAAGTGGCCCATTGTAGTTTGTATTCCCCTGGATGTGGCTCCCACAAGAAAAAGAGTCAGATGGTATTTTGAGTAGGGGTGGCATTATTTCAGATCAGAATGCACACCTGATCCATGAAGAGTGACCTATCTACAAATTGGCTAGAAGCCTACAGGTGATTTAAAGCTAAGGGCTCCACATCTGGGTAATATTTCTCTGAAATGTGGACTAGAAAATAATGACAGCATTAATTAGCTCTCATTATGAGAGTAGCTTAGGATAGAGAACAGAGACACAGTGAGAAAGAAAAAAAAGCAGCTTATCCTCTTTAGAGGTGGCTGGGTTCTAATAGCTACTCAAATATCCAAATAAATATTCTCATTTCTTCTTCTCACTTGGCAGCCTCTGAGTCTCAGAAGCACAAGAGTCTAGCAAGCACATTACTGTCTCCACGCTTCCCTCTTAGACCTCTTCTCATTCACATCACTCAAAAGTGACAGAGATCTTCCATGGTAATAAAATGCTAAAATTTCAATGGCTAGAAACAACCAAGGACATCACATGTCCATTATGAGGTGTTTAGGACTCTGTTCTGCATTCTTTCTCCTCCAGAACCATGACTGATAAGGCAAGGCCAAGATGGATCACCATGGCAAAGATGAAAAGTGTTCTGGAGGGTCTTTCACCAGCAATTAAATGCTATGCTCACAATTCATTGATAGAACATAGCTCAATCGAAACATAAGGAGACCAGGATATGCAATCCTACCATGTACATGAAAGAAAACAGGAAGCATTTAGCACACCTACCGCTATTTACTCATCCCTAACCACGGTTTTAACTGATGCCTATATACCAATGTCAAAATTTCTAGGAAAGAGGCCTCATTTTAACCTGGTATCTATATTTTCAACCACCTACTGCAACACAGAAGTATGTTGGCATCACAGACATCTCAAGGCTCTTGTACCAAGACAGACCCTTTCATCTTTCTGATGAAGTTTTTGCATTCTCTCTCTTGGTTAATGGCTCTCTTATCTATCTACTATTTCAAATAAGAAATTCAGACTGTCCTTCACTCCTTATCCTTCTCTTCTAACACCTAACCAGCCATGAAATCCATTGATACTTCTCCATGGTACTAAATCCAGGACTCTTACCCTATTTCAGCTCTATGTATTCTTGCCCAGGCAATTCTATTAGTCGTGTGGTTTTTCTGCCTTCATTTTTTCACCTATAAACTGCAATAATCTGTAAGCCAAGCAAATAGTTTCTTAAATAACCAATGAGCCCACTGTAAAAAAATTCAAGTCTAAAGAAGGAGACAGTGGTGTAATAAATGACAGACAATGGGACAAATGTGGTAACTGCTACACAGAAAGTAGGCTGAGAGAGGAAAGGAAATACCAAATTGGGTATAATGGTGATGAGAAGATAGTGTGGAAGGTAGGATGTTTCTAGAGAGGAAATGAAACTTCAGCTAAATGATGAGAGAGGAACTCTTGCTGACCCAGCAAACCTGGGAGCGAGGGGATTGAGGGGAACAGCATAAAGGACCAAGCAAGCACCTCATCAGCAAGAACCCAGAACATCCTGATCATTATTTGGCAAGCAACTGGGCATAAGCTTTTCTGTTGGGATAAGAAACCCAAAAGGAAGTCCAAGTCTATGGGAGATGATATTTTTGATTATGAATATCACCACATAGTTAACATATATTGAGTAACTATTTCAGACAGCAAGCTAATCGCCTTAGTGTATTATTTTATTTAATCCTCAACAATTCTATGAGGCAATGTTGTATTCATATCTTCATTTTTCAGTTTAAAAAGAAACACTGAGATTCAGATATTAGTAACTTTACCAGTTACACAGTAACTAACCCTCTTTTGCACCAAAGCCTAAGTTGGTACCTATCAAACCATGGTGAGTGTGAAGTACCTGACATTCCACTGGATGTGTCCAGGTTGCTACCACGGCCTGAGGAAAACTAATACTATCGGGACGAGAAGACGAAAAACAAGAGTTTGAGACGAGGCTGCACGACGCCTCAAGAAATCTCTGGAGAATCTGTTCCAATGCTAGCTCAGCGCCTGGCACTAATAAAAGACCTCTGGAGTGAGACGGGACATTCTGCCAAAGGTGGCTCTTCACATACAATTTAGCTGGCTCCTTCAATGATCAAGTTCTCCGAAACCCACTGGGAGATCTGACTGCCTGGGGAGGCAAATCCAAGGCGGGAAGACGGAGTGGAGGACAGCCAATCCTTGGAACAGACCAAGAATTTTTCATACCTTAACTTCGCCAAGACAGTTAAGGATGTGAGCGCCACAGAGCTGCTGTCCCCACGCTGAGGTAACTGCGGAAATCCCCGAAGAAACAGGGAGGTTCCCAGCAGCCGCCAGCGGACCGGGGTCTGGGGGCAAGGGCAGGGTCGCGCGTCTGACGCACACGCAAGCACGCGCGGGCAGTCTGGAAGGCCCGGGCGCGCGCTGCCTCTGGCCCGTCCTCCCTGGGGCTGTGCGTCACGAGGGCGGGGCCAGGGGCCGCGCGTTCCGCCCCCAGCGGCCCCGCCCCTTTGTGGCTAAAAGGGGCGGGCTCGGCCGGCTAGGGGTCCGGAGTTTCCTCCGTCTCCACCGCGGACTCCTGGACCTCCTCCGGGCCGGCCGTCTCCGCCCCCTGAGCAGCCGCTGGGAGTCGAGGCCGGGCGCCATGGAGGGCTGCTGTCTGGCGGGCGGGTCAGCCGGCTGAGGGCCCGCGCGTGCTGAGGCATGTGGATCCCGGGCGGGAGCCTGC